TCCCAGTCAAGAGACCTGGTGGCTGGAGAAAGTGGTTTGCTCTAGAGATTAGCATTTCTGTGTGTGTGTGTGTGTGGATTTTTCTGTCTGCGTATGTGTGTTTGTTAAGGTCAAAGGTCAGGATGTGTAGCCACTGGATCGAGATAAAGAGAAATTGAATGGTCAAGCAGGTGACCTGCCTTCGCCTTCGGTTGGGAACAGTCAACCCGGCGGCGCCCTTTGGCCCGGAGGTGAGATTAGTCTGGTGGGGTTGATAAAGCTCCTCGTTCTCCCAACAGACCAACAATCACGGAGGATTATGCTCCTGGAGAGCGATGGTTTCCCACACAAAGCAGGTGGGGAGAGATGCAAGGCCACTCACTTAAAGGCTCTCCTGTTGTTGCTTTAGCGTCTGTAGCCTTGAGTGAAAACAAACCAGTTTACTTTTGCTGCAGTCGACACTGTCAAACAATGGATTTTGTTTTCCCAGAGAAGCAGCTGCAGGAGCCTCTGACTGGTTTGTGTGATCAACCACTTCATAGTTTGGCTTTGCCACAAATGTGTCTTTCAGATTTTTCCTCCTAACCTTCAGACAGATGTTCAGAGCCATGACGTATTTGAAAACAGTCTTGTTTTATGAGCTGCTGAATAGTGAATTCATAAACAGAGGAAACCTCTTGGATTCTTTATCCAGATCCCCCTCGCATTCCCTTTATCATCCACCCCCATCCTGCAGCACTAAACTCCCTCTCAAGATATGCAGTCCAAACTCAGAGATGTCTGCAATTATTACAGTAGATAGATGGATAATAATTATAGGTAGATGATGGACAGACAGACCAACTGACTGATTGTGTCTACAGCAACATGAACTGCAAAGTTTATAACCCTTTAGCATTTTATTTTTTATTCTTAATAAAAAGCACAAATCCTTTTGGACAACCCACAGCTCCTCTCTCTCAGTGTCTCTCTCAGTGTCTGCTGTGTTCAGTGAACGGAGAGGTGGAGCAGCAGTTTGTTGTCCACACTGAGGCCGCACACTTATACACTGCCAGCCTGATATCTTCTCAACACAACCTGGAGGAGCTGCGAGTACAAAGTCCATGAGCTGTCTGATCGACAGACAAAAGATAAAAATATCATCCAAGTTTTTAACATGTGATTAGACAAAGTCCGCATATTTTACTAGTTACTAGTTTTTACACAGACATACAGCTTACTTATATAATGTACGTCATAAAATTATACAGGTAACTGTTTCTCTTGCAACACTGTCAGGAGCTGAAGATACATGACCAATACTGAAGGCGTAATGGTATTGCGCATTCAGACAGTGGTTTATGCAGCACACATATTTTGTTTGTGTTGTCATTTTAAGGCACATTTAAAGTTTTTTATGTCAGTCGATACACATTCAATGCAGAATTATAGTTCCAGTTTCAGTTTTTAATCAAGAAAATAGTTTGGAGTGTTTCCATGTTTAGCAGTCGATTCTGAAAGTGCAGACTATGCGTTTGAGTTGAAATCTGAAAATATACCATTACGGATGCAAACCTGCTTGGATCCTTGCTTCCTTGTGTTTTTTTATGAGGGGGTAAGGCCCCACATTAGCTCTTGAAAGGCCCCCCCATGTGCTTAGGCCTGGCTCTGCTTCTCCTGTAAGTGCTTTTTCATGTTAGCCTGCGACAGAGGTTTCTGGCTCCGGTGTTTGCTGAACCAAAGCAACATTTGACGGTTACACAGACAGCGTTTTACTACTGAGAAATTTCAAACACGGCTAAATTAAGACTTTGCTTCTGTTCTGTTCACACTTAAATGTTTTCAGGCCTTCCGTGGGTATTGCTGCGTATGCATTGCCTGTGAAAAGTCCTCAGAAGTATTACCCAGACCCAGACACAAGGTCAACTCCATGCTGGAAGCCTCTAGATCAATATGCTCAGACATTTGAAAGAACCTACCCAACTATTTTCCCACTGAGCTTTCAGCCCTTGTTATTTTTCTTCCCCGAGCTTTTCTCTTCTTTTCCCTCTTCTCATGTTTCCTGGCTCGTCATAACAGCACCCGCTTTTCCTCTTAAATCCTCCTTCACGACAACAGAAATGCCAACCAGTCACCTGGAGAGTTGAGAAAACTCTTGACTCAGAATCGCTTGAAGCAGCTGGGGATTAACATTGAAGCGTTTGGATTATGGATTATGCTATTGTGTGGACGTAAGGACGCACTTAAGAATGGCAACACAAAGGACAGAGTAATCATAATGTCAGTGTGAAGGATGACCCATTGTGATTGGCTTAGAGGACAGGCCAGGAGGGGCTTTATCTTTTTGAATCAGGAAATTGAATTATGAAACAAAGTGACCTGATGAAAAGGGCTGAAGTGACAGTATGGAGCTGTGGGTTAAGCCAGTTTGAAGGGCTGGCACTTCACCTAAAGGTTTCTTAATTAGATTGACTGACAAGTATGTGTTTGTGTGTGTGTGCGTGTGTGTGTGAGTCAAAGAGGATCTGAAGTGGTGTGATTAATATCTTTCACTCTGTCTTCATTTTATCCCCCTTGTTTGGGAATAACAGTGAGCGGGTTCACACAATTGACACTTGATTGAGTCGTCACAGCTTCAAGTTTCAAGTAAACTGAAGTTACTCTATTGCCAGGCAAGAGCATCAATACTGAATGACTCTGGATTATATTTAGTGCCAGTGCTTTTCAGTTGTATGCTCTCTACAATAGCTGCACAACTGCAGAATGATTAATGTGGTTATGGAAAATGAACTAGGTTTGAGGTGTGGTGAATACTGATCTCCAGATGAAGTTTATTTTTATTGGCCTTTTGCCCAATCAGAGTCATTAATGTGAGGTATCTGGTGATAACAAGACCCAATGCAGTGTCATTGCTCTGTCAAGCCACAGACTTCTTTTCCGTTCCGTTCTAGACCTGGCTGTGTGGAATGGAGTTTTGCTTTGCTTTATCTCTGACACTGTAAAGCGGACCTGCATTCATTGAGGCTGGATTCTGGACTCAGTCTACTAAACCTTGAAGCCACAGCTGCTGCACAAAGAGCTGTTCACCTGTTCAAAGTTCAGTGAAGCTCGACTCAGTACGCAAACCCCCGCTCTGCAGAATCAGTTTGTGTTGCCCTTGACAACGTTGCATCATGAACACACCTGTTGTCATGATTGACGACATCACTACATTGATGAGTCCCTGCTGCAGCTGCTTTAGAGCACTGGCCATCTTTTTATTCGAACTGTATTAATATTGAATGTATTGCGTCTCCAAATTTGTCAGTGCATTTCCCTCGGCCCTTAAAATACACATGTTAAGTGTGAAGACCATTATAACAGCTCTCAAGATATGCAATCCAAACTCAGAGATATCTGCACATATATATCAGTACAGTCGATAGATGGATAATAATTAAAGGTAGATGATGGACAGACAGACCAACTGACTGATTGTGTCTACAGCAACAGGAACTGCAAAGTTCAAACTCCGACATTTCCCGGGAGGTTACTCACGGCTAGAATACCAGGCTAACACAAGCCACATTAAAATCTATTCATGGGGAGTTAATTGTAGATCTGAAGTTTGAAGTCAGTGAAAGTTACATTTAACAATCATCCACACACTTGTAGTCACCATGACAGAGATCTCACGGGGCTGGAATACCTGGAGGACCATTTTCTTGAGCCGTCTCCCTGAGTGACTGAGGTAAAAAGATATTCTTCACTGACAGAGGGGTCACTCCACTCACTATGGTTAGACCAGTGTAGCAGACAGAAGCAGTTTTCTTTCCATGAGACCTGCTCTGACAGTCTGGAATTTTTCTGCCCTCTTTTTTTTTTTCACGGCTGTATCCAGCACTTCTCTTTGTCTTTCTTTGAACAAAACACTCTCTTCTTCTCTTCTCTGGTCATTTGTGAAGTGTGGCTCTAAGGATGGCGACGTTGGTGATTCCACTGCTGTTAGATTTGATTGAAACTGTTCTATTCAGACATGGTCAGTGTTGGAGTTAGGATGAACCCTCTGGGTCACGTTGGTGATCCTGAGAGAAATATCTCTACAGTGGATTGCTTTAACAATCTGGCTCCATGGTAAGAGTTAGCTTACATGATCAAAATAGCATGTAAATACATGCAGGATTTATACATCTACCATTTTTCCAATTTATAATTCAAGGTTAAGTTGTCCAAGTTGTCCAAAAAAAAAATCAGTTTGGGGCAAATCTGCGCCTCACTAATCTTCTTCCCTCTTCCTCTCTAAACCTGCCAACAATCTCCAAGGAGGCACACTTTCCCTCCGAGGCCGATAAACATCTCCCACTGCAAACTTCAGAGCTTCTAATGTATGCATGCCTTGTGCTGGTAATTTCTCAGGACATGTGTAAAACGGCAATTGGCCCAACGTTCGCCTGAGCTCCGTTTCTAAAACTGTCCTCTGACTCTCCCAGGCCCTTATCAAAGACTCGGGACAATCAGCGGTTTATCGCTGCTGGAAATGAGTGCAAGAAGCAGATGTTGTTCTGATTAAACACACACACATGATACCCACACACACACACACATGCACTGTGCCAAGTGAGCAACGCTGCTGCCTCAAGGCCCGAGAGGAGCTGAGGGCCAAGTCGTGAAATTCAGAGTCATGATATCTGCCGAACATGTGGTGCGGAGGCAACAAACTGTGTGTGTGTGTGTGTGTGTGTGTGTGTGTGTGTGTGTGTGT